ACCTGCAGAGCAGGACTTAGCAAGGGCCTCTGTGCACAAACGCCTCCGGGCATGGGAATACCAGGACCCCAGGAAGGGGATGAGGCCTCAGAAACCCCCCGGCTGGGCCCAGCCTAGCTGACAGTGACCAGCTCAGTTCGTGGGAGTCCCCGCTTGCCAGGGCTGGCCAGAGATAAAGGACTGACCCCCATCCTTCACCCCAGCCAAGCCAGCTCCAGGCCCTCTTCTCCAGGCTGGCGGCCTCCTGTCCCTGCAGCCCGAATACACTCCTCTAATGATTGTCTCTCTTCCCGCTCTCCCCCAACCCCACCTTCTCCTGCTCCCGGCTTCTCCGGCTCTCAGAGGAAGCCCAGGAGGAAGGTAAGTGGGGTCCAAGGCCCCGGCCCCCATTGCCCACCCCCCAGCCTTCCTGTCCCACCCAACACTGACCTCCACCCCGCCTCTAAGGATTGCCGTGTGTCCCTGTCTAACCCTCTCCTCTCTCCCTCTGCCACCTGCAAACCCCGGCTCTCCTCAGCTGCAGAAGTCCATGAGGAAGGTATGAGGACCCAGGACTTCTGGTCCCCATGTGGGGCCCGGGGCCTGGCTGGAGCCCACATGGTGGTGGGGGAGGGGTGGGGAAGCCACGAGGTGCCAGCCAGCCAAGGGGCCCCCACATGTGGCCCTAACATAATCCACTAACCACAGCCAATGCTTGACCAGAGAGGGCATGAGTCCTCGAGGGTAGGTCCCTTCCCCGCAGCCCCCCAGGTAGCAGGGCCAGGGACTCCCCAGGCAGGTGTGGGCTGGGCTGCTGGTCAGCAGGGCATCCCCAGGCATGGGGCAGAGGGGATGCTGCAGGGCCAGAAACAGGCCCAACCTAGCCTTCCACCCCACGGAGGGCAGCCCAGAGCCCGTGGTGGTGTCGACCCCTGGGCCTGGCCAGGACCCCCGGCCACATTTCAGGACAGCACAGGATGAGGGGAGAGAAGGCAGCTGGGGCGGAGCCCTGCAGCCCGGCACGGTGAGCTTCTTCAGACTCGTGCCTGCGCCAGCGCCCCAGACCCCCTCACAGCCCTCTGCTGCGGGACCCTTGGGGTTCACGCAGGCTAGGGGCAGATGGGAGGGCTAGGTCCCATGCCCAGATCAGCAGGCAGAGCCATCAGTGTCGCCTGGAGCTGCTAGCACCCTCGGAGGGTGGGAACAATCTGATCAGGCAAAGAGCAAGTGGGTCCCCAGCTGTGGGATGCCAGGAAGTGGGGGTCCTGGGGACACCTCCCACGGCCCACCTGTGGCTCTACCTCCCAGGGCTGCCAGCCATGTCCTTGTGGGCCCCTGGTGCCACCCAGCCAGCCAGGCTACAACCTTGCTCATGGGCCTTGGTGCCCGGTCCAAAGGCAGGGACACTCTTCTGGGGGATCCCCAGGACAGAGAGGGGATGGTGGTGAGCAAAGGAAGGCCCAGCCCCAGTGCCCAGCGTGCTCCACCAAGGGCGAGAGCCACAGCTCCCGGCCACCCTCCAAGCCTCAGTTTCCCCACCTGTGAGGCAGAGTATGTTGGGGATGCAGAGAGCAGGGTTTGAGGACGTGGGACTGGGGCGGTGGCCGCACCTGGGCTAACTCTGACCCTGTCTTGCTCGCTCCCTGCACGCGACCGGGCTGCTTTTCCATTAACCTCGGACCCTCTTCCTTTGACCTCTGACCCGTGGTTTTGCCTCTTGTTCCGTGGCCTCCTTGGCCCATGAAGTTCATGAGCCAGGTACGTGCATGACTTCAACGCCACATGGGCACCTGTGGCCATGTGGGGAGCGCAGGACCCAAGAAGGAACAAGAGGGGCCGCGTAGCCAGCACAACCCGGCCTGCTCCCCGCACCACCCAGCCCTGCCCTCCCCTGCTCTCCGCACCGCCCCTCTCACACTGGTTCTCTCTCCCTCCCACCCTCTCTGCCCGCCATGATGCTGCTTCTGCAGAGGAAGTTCAAGAAGGTATGCCGGCGCTTTCCAGACTCCAGAGCCCCCGTCCTCCCTTCTGTCCTCTCCCGCTTTCTCCCTTTTGCCCACCCCTTGTGATGTTTGCCACTAATAGCTTAGCCTGCTCTGGCCTCTGGGCTGGGGACAGAGTGAGGACCCTGGCTTAGGAAGTCCTGGCTAATGGGGTGAGGGCTTCCTCTGGGTCTCCCAGGCAAAGAGGATTTCATAGCTTGGGGATGACGAGGCTCTTCCTGGGCCGCCAACAAGAAGGTGGAAGGTGAGGGTGGCCAGCCTTGAGGCCCAGGCAGAGCAGGCCTTGGGAGGACAGTGCTGGGGTCCACTGGGACCCTCTGGATCCACCAGGGTGGTGTGGGAAGAGCCCAGGAGGGCAGGTCTCCACCCTGCTCCAGTTAGCAAGCCAGAAGCAGGAAGGTAGGGAGGGGTGAGGTGGAAGGGAGGGTGGAGGGGCAAGTGGAGTGAAGCAGAAAGGCAGGCTGAGGCCCAAGGTGGGGACGTGGGGACCCGGAACAGCCGGGGGCCATGCGTGCAAAGGCGCAGCCAGGTCCCGGCATCCCACCCATCGCCTGGGCCCGAGCCAGACACACCCGGTGTGAGAGGCCCCCTGGGTGGGCCTGCCCTCCCTGGCGGTGGGGCCCGGCCGTACCCCTGGGTGGAGGTCAGAAAGCTGCAGATTCAGAGCAGGGGCCCCAGCTGGGAAGTGCTTCTCGGCACCGCCCCCCACCGTTCTCAGCGGCTGTGGGGCTGAGGGCCTCCTCCCTGCTGGGCCTGAGTTCTGGCAGGACTCCAGCCTCAGAGAGGCCCCTGGACTAGAAGGGACGTGCTTGGAGGGGGAAGGGGCTCCAGCCTCACAGGAGAAGGTGTCCAGGAGATGTGGAGGTGACAGGGGCGCCGGGTGGCTCTGGAGCCAGCACTGAGGCAATCGGACAGACAGACAGACAGCAGGGGGGTGGCAGGAGCAGAGGAGGCAGGGTCGCCAGGACAGCTTTGCCACTTGGCTGTGTGGTCGCTCCCCCCAGCGCTCAGCCTCCCACCTGACCTCGCCTCCGCCCTGGCCAGCCTTCCCACCCCGAGGGGCTCCTCAAGTAGGCGCTGCATCCAGCAAAACCCCCAAATCAGGGATGTGGGGCCAGCAGCCCATCCATCATCCTCATCACGCCATTCCTTCCAGGCCCTCAGCCAGGCTTCTGCGAGCAGGACGCCCCACCACTCCCTCCCGTGCACCCCCCTCCAAGGTGTCCGGAACGGGTGACTCAGGCCCACATGCAAAACCAAGGGTGCCATGGGTCCTCTGTGCTGTGCAGGGGGCTCCCAGGCCACCAAGCGGTCTGCCATCAAGGAGGACTAGAGGCCCTTGAACCCCGGGCCAGGCGTGGGCAAGGCAGGACCCCCACCCTACCCCGGGGCTCAGGCCTGCTGGCCTCAGCCAAGTGCAGAGGACAGCGCCAGGTCAGACTCCGAGGGCCAAGGGCATCGCATGTCGATGGCCTTGCTGCCAACTAAGGCCCAGAGCAGAGACTGAAGGGACAGGGTGGGTGGGTGCAACAAGGCTGGCGGCAGAACCCCTCCCGGGCCCCAGCCGGGCCAGGCCAGCCAGGGAGAGGGAGCACGGGGGTCCCAGAGGGGCCCATCCCAGTCTCGGGAGAGCAGCCATGTGACAGTCAGAGGGCAGGCCTTGGGGAGGTCGGGGTGAGCACGCCTGGGCCCCTGGCCTGTGGATGGAGGCTGTGGTGGACATTCTGGACTCAGGGAGGGGCTCGTAGGGCTGAGACCAGCCAGGAGTTAGACCCCACGCTGCCGGCAGAGGCTTCTGAGGCCTGAGGGCCTATAGTCACTCCATGGCCTGCTGAGTTCCACCCAGTAACACGGGCTTCAAAGGCAGGGGTCAGGTGCCGGGAGGCTCCAAGACAAGGCTGCACCCACCCAGCCGCAGTGCCCTCTTTTTGGGTTGGGTCTCAGATTCCAGACCCAAGAGGACAGGCTGGGGGGACAGATGAGACCCAGTGCCCTTAGCTTCCGGCCTTGCCCCAAGAGGTATCCCTGTCCCTCCTGCTCTCCACCAGGTCTTCAGGGCAGGGCTCCACTGGGCACCCAGCCCCTTCCATCCCCCACAGGCAGAGATTCACCGACCCCACAGGCACACCCTGGGGAAGGGTGGGTCTGAGCAAGAGGGGTGGGCCCCGTGCCCACAGACCCCCGGCAGCCCCTCACAGCCCCCCTGCAGCCCCCCCACAGCCCCCCGCAGCCCCCCGCAGCCTCCCCGCAGACCCCCGCAGACCCCCGCAGACCCCCGCAGCTGCCCCACAGCCCCCCACAGCCCCCGCAGCCGCCCTGGCTTTTCTCTTGCGTGTGCGCTTGTGCCACCTCGAAGACATCGCAGAGGAGGATGCAGAAGGTAAGGGCCCACCCCGCTGCTGGGGGTGCAGGACCCTGGCTTTGGCCGACATGAGGAAGAGGACAGGCGCTCTCTCACTGCCCTGCCTCCCTCTCCCTCTGTCCTTCTTCTTTCTATTCCCCTGGCATGGGGGTCTCCGACGGCCAGGCCTTGCAGGCCTTGCAGCTCCGCAGGGTGCCGCCAGGGTCGGGCTGTGGGGGCCTCAAGGGTGCCCCTACTCCCAGCTTCTGCCACACAGCGGAGGGGGAGTAAGCAGGACCAGCCAGTAGCGCCAGAGCCCAGGCAGGGCGCGCCCCGCTCCTCTTTCCCCCGAGCCCCTTCCTTCCCAATCTTCATCCCAAGCCCCTGTCCTCTGTCCTCCCTCCCCTCCCTCCACAGCCTTCGAGGATGCTGCGGTCTCGCTCCTATTTCTTCCCTTCGTCTTCCTCACCCTTCCTCCCTGACCTTTTCCCTTCCAACCCCGCCATGGGCTTTTGCAGGCCTAGAGCAGAAACAGGGCCCTCTTGTTTCTGGGGGTTGGTGGGAAGACAGCTGGAAAGGAGGATGGCCCTCAGCGAGGGGGAACCCAGGGCCCCAGGCTGCCTGTTCTCACCCTGGCTGTCTCTCTCCTTCCCCCATGCTGGTGCTGCGCTGAACAGAGGAGAAGCCAAGACCCAAGTGAGTGTGGGGTCCTGGCGGGCCTGGCCAAGTGTGTTCTGGGGTGGGGCTGAGCGTGGGACACGGCCAGATGCCTGGAGCCTGCACTTGGAAGGATGGATGCTCAGGGCGCAGGGTGGGAGAGACCAGGGTCACCTGGGAGATGGACTTGGGAGGCCCAGCAGGGTCATCCGGTGCAGAGAAGGAGGGCTTCCTGCAGGAGGAGGCTACTGACAAGGAAGGAAGGAGGAGAGGTGGGCGGGAGAGAGTTTAGGAAGAAAGGTGGGGTGCTGGGGTGCAGGGAATCGGGCGACCACCACACCCCATGGCCTTTGGGGGACCGCACCATCCCCAGTCATAGTGCCTAGCTGTGACAACCGACAGGAAAGGGAGTCGGGAAGTGGAAGAAAGAGGGGTCTCACCCCAGAAAACCACTTCAGAAGGACACCTTGACCGTGTCCAAACAGCCCATTGTGCAGGGCCCCTGCTCCCCTCTGGGGCAGAGTTCAGAGGACCTCGTCCTCACCATGCCCGCGTGTGAACACTTCGTGGACTGGTGTTTTCAGTGCAGCTCTTGTGATTCTTCTGCTTTTGATCAGTACTCACAAGCCGCAGCACTCACTGCGCAATTCACCCTTTTATCTCAACTGCCCTTGCCCGAGTCTTGCTCTGCACGAGGTGGCCTCCCACAGCCCCTCAGCGCGCGCTCACGGAGAGCCCCTCAGCACACACTCTGCCGGCTTCTGCTTGGGGAGCCCTGTAGACTCTCCGGAGAAGAGTGAGAACATCTAAGGGCAGGGCCGGCACAGTTCCATCCTTTGCACTTTATTTTTCAGTGATTTTAAGTACAGTAATGCCTGATCACGAGATACTTTCTCATTTTAGAAAAATTGTTTGTGTTTTCATTATGAAAATAAAACACCTCATTAAAGAAAATTTGGAAAATACATAAAAGTCGAATGAAGAAAAAAAGTCGTCTATAATTCTCCTACCCAGCCAGCCAGACTGTGGAAAAGAGCAGAGAGAAATAAAAAGCCCTATTTCTTCCTTTTTTCCATGCATAGGGATTGGAAAAAAAGATTTAAACTCTGTGCTGTTTTTCAAACATGGTACTGTCTATACAGCCTTGAATTCTGCTTTTTTAAAATTTAGCACTATTCATAAGTATTTTTCCATGTTTTTACATAGTCTTCTTAAATATTTTGAATGGCCACATAATATTCCATCAATTGGACAAACCATAATTTTCCTAACCATTCCCCTCTTGCAGGCTTTCCTCAATATTTTACTATCATAAATAACGCTGCTTGGAAAGCGTTTTCTGTCTGTAGGGTTATTTCCGTAGGCTACATTCCCAGAACTGGAATTACTGGGTCAAAGAGTATGAATGTTCTTAAGGCTCTGGCATGCTGTGCCAAATTGCTTTCCACAACGGCCTGGAGCGCTGTCTCCTACGTGGGATGTGAGCGAGTCCATACCCCACACCCTCCTCACCCGAGGACAGAAACGTGCTTTTACGTCGAAGCCTCTGATGGATGGGAAACGGCATCTCATAGCTGTCTGGCTCTGCGCCCCTAGAGTCACTCGGGGCCAGCATTTCCCTGTGTTTGTGGATGGGTCGTCTTTTTTCTCTGAGAATTGGTAGCTCTGCCCGTTGCTCATTTGCCTCATGGTGGAGGCGTCTCCGTGTTTTCTTAATCATCAGTTTGCATAAGGATATAAGTCTTCTCTGTATTTGCT